GCTGTGAAGTCAGATAGATGAGAAGACAAATAGCAGCCCCCCACCAGTTGTGAAAACTATGAAAAGAATGCACAGAAGGTGCCTGGCACAAACTACTCTGTGACCCAAAAAACAATTCCCTGTGATTTCTAGTGACAGAAATTAAATTGAATAAAATCTTTAGGTTTCAAAACATGACTTTAAAAAAGCAGCATCCACTTCTGAAATAAAAGAGTTAATCCTTTAAAGCCAATAGTCAGGGATGTAAATGAAATAAGCAATTATGTTTTCTTTCACTTCTAACATCCTTGAAACTGTACCTTCCAGTTACATTTAAAAAAAACACTACTTAAAAGATGAATTCACAGACCTTGCTTCAGTGGCTTGAACTACTGAAGCTAAACATTTTTAGTTCCTTTGATAAAAGCCTTGTTGTCCTATTAAAGCCCCAGAAAAATAAGGAAATAAAGAAGGTCGGCAACATTTTGCCATAGCAAAAAGAAAACAGAAAACAGAAATCTTTTGGAAATTTATTTTCCCTTTTGTATAAGCAATGATATACAAAATGTTTGTCATGTTGATTTTCATAGCTTTTGAAATAATTGTGAGTTTCATCTACATTTCCATGTAAATTTATTATACTGTACTTCTTTGAAAGCAGTTTCTTTAATAATCCATTTATTTCATATTATTATTATTATTATTACCTCTTGATTCTGAACTAGTGTGAATAATTTTATAACCACTTTAGTCCCATGTTTTCAAATGTAAATGATCAAATTTAAAGTTTTCTCATAATCTTCACAGTCTCCAGAGACCCATAACTGTGATGACACCACATAAGCATGACATAAATATTTACAGATGAAATGTGATACATATGTATATGTATATATAATTTTCCTTATCCAAACCACAAAATTCTACTGAATGAGATGCAACATTTTTCTTGTTTTTTTTCCTAGGTAAAATTTATCACAATCACTGGAAAATAGGTAGCATTATAGAATTGGAAGGCATTACAGCAGAAATGAGATTCTAAAAATTACTGCAATTGTGAATCAAGAAATAAAAAGAATTTAATATATCTGCATTTCCTTTGCCATGAGTTTCATGTAAGTATCAGCAAGTCCCTTCATTTGGTCATCCATTCATGAAAAAAATAACAACCTAACCCTGATATTCATGTCAAGTTTGTTACTAATTGTCTTCTCAAGCCCATGACACTGGCTTCTCTCCTGAGGGAGGAGCTGAGGGCTTCTATAGAGTGGAAACATCTCTTTTTTAATCATCCCATAGGAAGATTAATCCTGAGCCAGAAAACAGAGTCTGAGGACAAGAGGTTGGAAAGATACCTTTCTCTTTCAAGAGCTAAAACTAGCTTCACAGAGTCTAAACTCTAGAGATGCCTGGAACACTCCAAGTACAACTCTTGTCCATGTAAAACCATGCTGAGACCTCATGCCTCTGTGAAGCCTTGGGATTTGTGGCAATAGAAGCAAAGGCCACACATACAAGAGAAGATTGTATTGGTTACCAAGTCTTCTGACCTCAAAAGAAGTGGAGAGGCTAAATTCTGTCTGCATTTGTGAATAATGATCATACCAGGAAGGACAAGCTACACAGAAAGCCTAAGGGTTATGGGTCATACCAACAGAGGGCTCTAAGGGAAGATGGGATTTCCTAGTCATGGAGGAGCCTATGGGAATTCAGAATTGCTTCATTTTACAGCAGCAATCATTTGTATCCCAACCTGCATATAGTATCAATAGCATTAAATTACTTCAGATGTTAGGTTTAGAATCATAATTTTGTGTCATGGAAAATGTTGAGGGCAGGTAGAACTGTCACATTAAACCCTACAGGTTCCATACATAGGAAGCAAAATTATTTAACAGTATTTAAAGTTAAACAAAAATGCTTTTAAAATTCCAGACCACTGAATATCTTATATGCATTTACATCATAACTCTGCATAATCTCACTTACTGTTGACAGATAACAGTCTAAAAATAAGAGTCTCATAAAATCTAATATTTGGAAGGGACTTTGCAGGCTATCAGGGCCAACTTCTCCTCTACAACAATTTAGATTCTTCCTTTAAACATCTCAAGCTACAACAACACAACAAGAACATGTGTTCCTGTTGATGACCTGTGTAGGATGAACCAATCTTCTAAAATAGCCTGCTAAACATGTGTGTTGTCTTTAAGCCAAGTAATCATTATGGGATTAAAAGGAGCACCACCTCACCGTGACTCAAGCTATTATCAGCACTAACTATTGGCCCTTTTACAAGTTACTTCCTAGCAAAGAAAATACATTAAGTATGTGCTTAGAGGTTAAGCATATATCATAAAGAAAAAATAAGACTTTTCTGGTAAGGGATATTGATAATGAGGGCAGAGGTTGCATGCGATATCTCTGTGCCTTTTCCACTTTTCTGTGAATCCAAAACTAGTCTAAAGTATTTTCTTTGCTGGGGGTTTATCTCAGTGGCACAAGCACCTGCCTGGCATGCAAGGTTGTCAGTACAATTTTTGTGTCTGGCACAAAAATAAATAAATAAAATATTTCCTTTCCGAAATAATATTTATAAGATAATTTTAGAAATAAAATTTCTGAATATGAAAGCTCAGTAACTAACATTTGTTCATAGGAGTAGGGCACAGGCTCCATTAGAATTCAGAATCAACTTTTGATTGTAGTCTTGATGGGCACACACAACAAAGTTATTTTCTCAACTTCCAACTTAACTTTTCTCTTGGGCTATATAGAATATTTTAAAATCTACAATAAATACTTCTAGTGTGGTAGTATGGCATTATGTTAATGTTATAAATCGCTTACACATCTTATGAAAAATGTAACAAGTGGGAGGGGGTTGGTCATGAATACTTTTGTTTGTCTTATTCTCTGCACTGTAGGATAATGTCTCAATAAGGATTTGAAATGTTTGAAAGACCCTTTTAAGTACTCACATAGTACTGGGCCTATTTCACATACAGAAAGGGGCACAGAAGAAATGCAGATGGCTTTTAATTATGCACTACTCTTGATTACACTACTTGGGACTGGTTTGTTGGTCCTCCTCTGTTAGAAAGGAACAATTTGGAACATTCAGATCTTTGGTGGCTTGCATGTAAAGGACTGCAACTCCTTAAGCTGCTGATATATTATTAAGGCAATGCAAGAAAGGGAAAACTATTACACAGAACCTTTTAGAAGCTGTGATAGAACAATCTTACATAATGTTGTCTGGACTGGTTGCTATAACCTTGTCTTGGGTTTTCTAGTTAAAAAAAACTAACATGGTTGCTCTGAGGATTGCTTCCAGTTGGTGTTCCAAAATTTCAGCTATTTTTCCTAGCTCCCAAAGCAAAACACGTATTTTTGAAGGGACATACTTCATACTTTCCATAATAGTGGGTACACATTTCGAATGTTTTGACAGGACCGCTATGACAGATATTACTAGAAACCTATTCAGTATATCAAACAGATTTTCAGCAGCATAAAAGTACTGAAAAAACAAATGTTAAATCCCTTAAGAAAAACATACTTAGCAATTTTATAGCATCAACAAGAATGGAGGTCCTTGGAGGAAATTATGACAGTGGTCTCCTTGTGGTAATTATTTGCCTTTGTATTGAAGTCTTGCATTATCTTTCAGTAATAATATAGAAGATAAAAAATTAATATGTGGCAAGATACAACATGAAAGTCATTCAATAGACTACAAGCAAAAAATATGTTTAAATAGTTACCCTTAAAAAGAGTGAGGGGAAAAGGAGGAAAAATTATTTAAGATCCTAAGACATTACTAAGGTGATGAAAAGAAGCTAACTGATAGGAAAATATCAGAGGAAAGGAATATTTGATCTCAGTTTATAGATTTCATAGAGCAGCATGTGGCAGCCAAGTATCTGAAAGTATGCAGAAAGGATTTACGTGGCACAAAGAATTACATGAATTGTATTATTAGAAAAATGTAAATGTGCTCTCCATTGGAATTATTATAGCTGCTTAGCTAGTCATTTTTCTCAGACATTAACTCTCTAAAATGAAGGTGAATATTTTACTCTCTATAGGGCTCTATCCTATCTGCATGCAATGCAATCCCTGAAAAAGTCAGAGAAGCTGAGACTTACCCTTTTCTGAGTTTTGCAGATGTTAACATGAAGTAAATGTCTCCTATTTTTGGAAGTCAGAAAAATCTAAGAGTAAATGCAGTAATTTTGCTTAGCTTATTGATATAAACTATCTCCTTGAATATAATTGTCTGTTCTTCTTTATACCTTTATCTTAAATATATTTAAGATAAGTTGCTTTTATTTCATTGGTAAGCATAGCTCATATTTTATAGATGTTATTATAGTATTCTAAATATTTGGTATAATTTGTGCTTACCTTCAACCTCTCTCATACTTGAGCAACATCATTATAAATATATACATCTTAAATCTTCCAATGTCAGTCTAAATCCTAATTTATAATATATTCTGATGGTTGCCAGTAATTCTGAGTATTTGTAACCTTAATTGGCATAGATATCTGTAGATCTATCTTTCTAAGGTAATTTCACATTTATCAGAAAAAAATAGGAGTCAAGAAGCTAGCCATTTTGAGCTGGCTATTATAATATCTCTAATTCAAAGTTGAGTGAACATGAAAATTCAGAAAACTCTTAAGTCGAGCCCATGTGTGCATTAAACAATAAAACATTATTTTTACTTATCATGTTGGCAAAAAAAAGAAGAGAAGGTATTTTAACCAAGGTGTAGAAGACCTCTACAAAAAATGGGAAAGAAATGAACCTTGACCCCTCTCTCACTCCAATAACAGAATTCATTTGAAATGAATCATAAACTACACTGAAAACTAGAATCATAAAATTCCAAAAATAAAACACAGGAGAATGTCTTTATACTCTTGTGCAAGCTAAAATATTTTAGAATACACAAACAACAGCTAAGAATAGAAGAAAATATTTGATTTATTTAATTTCATCCTAATTAAAATATCTGCTTATAAAAGAAAATATGCATAATACACTATCCACTCTCTGTGGTTAAAGTATTTGTTTCCAAAATGTATAAAGAACTTGTACAAATCAAAAATGAAAACCAAAGGCTCAACTTGAAAAAAATATTGGGTCAACCCGTTACAAAATACATATGAATGGAATAAGGATGTATAGAGGAGCTCAACATTACCAGTCATAAGAAAACACAAATTAACAAACAGTTCCACACCATTAGAAGGGTTAAAAGACTGATAAGTTTCCAAATGTTCCCCAGGATGTTCTCAGACACTGTTGGTAGGAGCATTCAGTTGAATAAACATTTTGGAAAGCCACATATCTCTTCATAAAATTTAAATATAAATCTACCATATGACCCATCAGTCCTATTCTTGAGTATGTGCCCAAGAGAAATGAAACGAAAAACATATGTGTATAAAAAGTCAGATTTATAATATCTTCAAACTGGAAATAATCCAAATCTTTCTCAATAAGAGAACAGACTTTTTAGCACAATAACTTCATAGCAGAACACTGTTGACACCTAACAAGAATGAATCTCCAGGGGAGAAAAGAAAGTAAAAAAAAAAAAGTCAGAAACCAGAGAATACCTATAAAATTCTATTGTATTGTCTGAAAATGGGCAAGATAAGAAATCAAGCAATGGTTTATACTGTAGGATGGTGATTGAGAAAAGAACACAAGATAACTGTCTGCATAATAGAAATGAACTCTCTCTCTCTCTCTCTCTCTCTCTCTCTTTTTGTTGAGTGCCAGTTACATGACTATATATAATTATTAAAACCCATAGAACTGAATAATTAAGATCTGTAGATTTATGGTATGGAAAGTATGTTTAAAAATTAAATATTATAATTTACATATATATCTAATGATTCAATAAATTAGTACAGTAATATTGGTAGCAGGATTAATATTAGTAATAAGTTTCAAAAGCTTTAAAAATGTGAAAGACCTTTGACCAAGTAATTGTACATACAGAAATTGAATTTTAGGAAATGATCAGCCATCTGCATACACACAGAGACACACATATGTATATACATGTATACATAACAGAGTTTTTGTGCCAATATTATAACAGAAAAATTATAAGAACATGAATGTCCAGTGATGGAGCTTTAGTTAAACAAATAATGATATAGTTGAATCTTTAATGTTACCTAGCCATTTAAAATATTTAACACCATCTAAATGTAATTTTCAATATGATATTAGATTAAAAAATGAATTTTTGAAATGGCACACAAAATACGGATATTGATTTGCCTGTTTTGACAATAGCAATGTTTTATCAAAATGGAAGATGTATTTTTTTCCCTCATCTAAAACCCACAAGGCAGTCCCAGCATGTAGGCAACTTTTTCCCACCAATAATCCAAACCCTAAATTCTTTGTATCAAGCTGTTGCACTATCTATAGGATATCTTACTCTACAATATTAATGTTTGGTCACTGTCACTATGCATGCCTGTGAGTCCACAGGAAAAATAGAGAGAAAGTGGAAGGTAGAAGGTAGTGACTTTCTCTTATGGGTGTGAGCTGCATGTTGCACACACCACTCCTCCTCCTGTCCCACTAATGAGAGCATGATCACGCCAGATTCCCAAGAAACAGAAATTTCTCAGTCTGAGCTGCCACATGCCCACCTAAAACTGGACATCTGAAATTTCCAGGGCTAGAAGAAAAAAGGGAAAATTAGATAAGCTTAGATGAAACTCTAGGAAATGGTAGACAAATGTCACATTACTGATGTTGATAGCACAGAGGGAAGGAAAATGAAGACATTGAAAACTTCGACTCAAAAAGTGACATAAGGCTAGGGATATAGCTCAGCTATCAAGCGTGTACCTAGGATGTGCTGATTTGATCCTCAGCACTGGAAAGAAAAGACTAGGGTGTTGGGGAGAAAAACAGAGAGACAGAGGGAGACAGAGACAGAGATAAAGAGGGGGAGAAAGCGAAGGAGAGACAGGAGATAAAGAAAAGCTGGACTGTGAGTGTGAAGAGGCTTTATCACTGTTTTAACCAATTCATTTTTCTTACATTTTTCTTTTCATATGCATTTTAAAATTATACATGGTTGAAGCCTAGAACAAAAGTTTAAAATAACTTCTTCAGTGAGTATAAACTTTTTAGCTTATGTCATAGCTTAATGGACAACATTCTTTCCCAGTGGTAAGCAAAATATAAAATAAATTATACTTGATGATATTGGTCAACTTTCCCATCACTGTGACAAATTACCTGACATCCACAACTTAAAGGAGGATTCATTTCGGCTCACAATTTCATAGGACTCAGTCTGTAATCAGCTGGCTGTAAGGCAGAAGAAACGTCACCGTGGTGTATGGCAAACTGCTCAGTTCATGGCAGCTAGAAAGCAGAACAGGTGTGTGCAGGAGAGGAAAGGGCCAGTCCGTGTTGTCAAACCTCCATGACGCACCCAGTCACACTCTGAAGTGTCCTTTACCGTGCACAGAGCATGTCTTAATCTTGTAGCTTAATCTTTCAAGCTACAAGATTAATGATAACAATGCCTTAGGTTTGTAGATATACAATAAAATGTTAGTAATTCTTTCACATCGACATTTATTTTGCATAGCTGGAATTACAATTGGTCTTCATTTTATACACTTCTATTTTCTTTTTTGTAATAAAAAACAAGTATTTTTATTTACCATTTGGATCATTTAATATTTATTAAATTAAAATTTAATAAAGTTTTTAATTAAAATTTTAAATTAAAACTTAAATAACCCAAATAGCAACCCAGTATGTAACAAAACATTAGTCCAAAGATTAACAGCGAGGCAAAGCAATAAGGTGACATGGCTCAATGCTAAAGACAGGAGTAGAGGATCACGGCCGGGCTTTTATATGGTCTCAGTTGTCTAGCGCATACATTTTTTCTATTTAAAAATAAACATAAATACAACTGAAGAAGATGTTGCCATGGTTTAAATGAATGAAAATAAATTTCAAACAAGTCAGTTACTATATTCATTAATTGAACAGTGATGTTTAAACCAAAGCAGCCCCTCTGTCTGTACCTAATTTAGTTCAAAATTAACAACATACTATTTCATTAGATGTGCTTTGTTTTTTTTCCAGTAGACATATTTATATAAGTAGAAACTTTTGTTCTCTGGGCTTCTGATGCCTACTCTCTATAATAATCTGGATACCAGCTCAGTTCATTTAATACATACCTTTCAAATTCATCCAAATATCTAATTTTATGTTTTTTATTTCACTATTATTAGATCATCTCAACTTATTTTTATCTCACTATCTGGGGCTTCTCTCTAGGTAGTTAGCGATAATCATATTAGAATAGTCTTAAACCAAACCAATTCCAGATTAACATACTATTCTCCAGCATAAAATTATCCCATTCAGAGTAATACATAGAGTAATCCTGGATTTATATTTTAATAGTTAATAAAAATTTACACAATAATTTATTTATTTATTTATATTTTAAGGAAAGAAAGAAAAACGATAAACATAACAATGAAATCTAGTTTCAAAACAGGTTAGTTGGAAGGTTACAACAGTTGATACGTTATGTATTGTCTTTGTGGTTATTGTTCAGCATATAAGATTTAGGCATGATATGTTGTCCAAACAATATTAGCACAAAACTTTCTTTTCAAGGAACTAAGAGAAGCTAGCCATCTAACTATCTTAATTATCTTGTATATGATTATATTTTTTCCTATTTCCTTTCTTTTTTTCCTCTTTCCGCAGTGACAGCTTATCTTTTCTTTTAAATTATTTCTTCCCAATTCACAATATCTATTGTATATTTTCATTCTATTTACTTGTTCAGTTTTTCGTACTAGTGAGACAAAATAATGTTACACATATTGGTCTGATTAATTTCCTAAGGAGTATGGCCTCAAGTTGCAACCATTTACCTACGAGTTTCAGGTTTATCCTTCTTTATGTCTGAGTAGTACTTCATTACATTACATTACACCATATCTTTTTTATCCATTTCTCAGTTGATGGGCACCTGGGTTGTTTCCAAGATTTTGCTATCACAAATTGTGCTGCTAGGAAAATGGGTGCACACATATCACTGTGGTATGATGTTTTAATTCTTCTGGGAAAATATTCATAAAGGGAATAGTTGGTTCAAATAGGACCTCTACTCCTGGTTTTTTTTAAGAACTCTCCACATTGATTTTCACAGTTAGACTAGTCTATCTTCTTACCATCAGTAGAGAAAGGTTCCTTTTTCAACATAGCTCCTCCAGCATTTGCTATTGGTTGATTTTTTGATGATAGCCATTCTTTCTAGGATGAGATAAAATCTCAACACTGTTTTACTTTGCATATCTTGACTGACAAATGAGTTTGAACATTTTTGTATGTATTTATTTGCATTTGTATTTTTTCATCTGAGAAAAGCATGTTCATCTCAGATGTCCATTTATGGATTAGGTCTTTGAATTTGGGTGGAGGCATATGACTTTTTTTCAATTCTTTGTATGTTCAAGATAGAGGTCCTTTGTCTGTGGGACAACTGTGCAATTTTTTTTGCCACTTTGTGGGTTGTCTTGTCGCTCTGTTGGTGATTTCCTTTAATATCATCATGTAGCAATATTACCTGATTTTCACTTGGAAACAAGCAGGTGATCAGAGGCCAAATCCAGTTTAATGTTCCCTCCTGCAACTTTACATGAATGAAGAGTAGCTAGCAGAGAAATATAGACATGAAGCAATGATTCAGGCCAATCCATAAAGGAGTAATAAAAGTAAGAGCTCAGATTAGTTTGTCTAAATTCCTTCCAGACCGGGCAAAAAAGAAGAGACAAAAGAATGAATTTACCTAATACTAAGTACAGAGCTGATTTAAATATAATATATATTTTTAAAAAGAAGTTTGTGTAATTCAATATCAGTTGGGCCCATTTATTCATCCTCTTTTTAGGGCCTTGGGGTTAAAACCTTCATGATAGGAAAAGCAGTGATTACATGGTGAGAATGGAAGCCAACAATAGGGAGGGACCAGTTTTACTCTTTATGACAATTCACTCTCATAAGAGCTAACTTACTCCACACCAGGAGCATGAATTCCTTCTGAAGGCAGACCCACTTGACCTAATCACTTCCACTAGGTCCTGGTTCTTAGATTGTATACTTGTGCCACCTCTCATGTCACCACACTGAAGACCAAGTCTCCAGCACATGAACCACTGGAAGACATACTGCATCCAAACTATAACACATACTAAATGCTCAGCCTCAAAAGTCTTGTCTGAGCTTCTCTAATAAAAAGAGGCTCATGAGCACCTTACATCTTTTGTATAGCTCTTCCCTGGTCAGTTGTTAATTCCTAGTCTTTCCATAGTTTGCAAGATACCTTCCCAGGGAAGTAATCTGCTCCTAGCACCAATAACAGTGCTATGCAAAGCAGCTTCTTGATGAATATTTATGAAAAAGAGGAATTATGAGGCATCTGAAAAACATCTAATACCAATGAGTAAAACAAAAATGAAGATTCATGTTTAAATCACAGAAAATGTTTAAGAATAGTATTTAGAAAGACAGTAGACAACCATCAAGAAAGCTCAAGACCTTAGTTACAGGCAGAGGACCAACCTCTGATCCCCCTAATTTTACATTTTTTGCATTTGCTACCATGACCCCTGGATCATGTTTCAATCCCGGTCCTCATGGCTCTTTTTTAAAAAATTTGTCAAAGAGAGTATATCCAAGGTGTGTGATGTGTACATTGGACATACATTTACCTTATGTGGTGATTACCACAGTCAAAATACCATAACCCTCACCTCCCACAATGCACATCACATTCTCTGCCCATGCTCTCCTGCCTAGCAACTGTCCTCAATTCTTGACGTGCTTCTGAACCTGGCCTTCAAAGTTCAAATCTTGGTTTTCCTGTCTCCTTAGAATCACTTTGTTTCTTTTGGTACTAAAAATGAAAGCAGCTGCCAAGGACAGCTACAAAGAACAAATTATATAACTCCTGTATGGTCAGGAATGGGCTACTCACACCTGAGCTCATGACAACCCAGTTATCTAACTCCAGTCTCTCTCTAGAATTCTTAATACATATGGAAACACTTTTCTTATGCCTTTTTTTCACATGAAAGACCCCTTACATACATGAAGAATATTTAAGAATATCTTTGCTATATAGCTCCCCTAGAAAAAAAGAACTGAAATTTTTCAACTGACTCCCTTCCAACTTATATTCTATCCTCATAATATTTTTAATAAGGACCAAAAAATAATTTATAGTTATTAAATAGCCAAATACATACATACATACATACACTTTAAGCATTTCCAAGGTCACTTAGAAATAGTTGAAGACACAAACACTAAGATTAATCTTTGAATATTTTTCTCTCCTTAGCAACTTATTTAAAGAGGTATAGTTTCATGCCTCAATGTCATGCTTCTTAGATTATCAAGTGGTAATCATATGTAACTGAGTTATAGTTACATAACCATTAACCATATAGTTAAATAACCATTTACTTGGCAACTATGCATGCCTGCTTCTTAAAATCTAATAAGTCAGCATTTCAAGATTACCAGCGTACCAACAACTCGCCTAGATCATGTTGGTAAACATGTTGTCCTCCGATAAACAGCAGCCTTCATACTTGTGGGACAAATGAGTAGCTTTTTTCTAGTCCATATAACAATTAAATACAATCCATTGCAAGGAGAGAGTCTGGAGTTAAATCTGTTAAAAGGGAGTTTCTATGAATACTGGAAAGTCTTGGTCATATTTTTCACGTGTGAAGAATTTCCATGTGCATTTAATAAACACTTCAGCCCATTCCTATTTGTTTCTACTAAAAATATTATATATTCATACCTCAGCAAATGTTTGTGGAGTGATCTTTCTGTATAAATTCATCATTAAATTTACACTTTTCTGCACTTGGAAAATGGAATATTTTTAATCATAGGCAGCCTGTCAACATTTATATGCAACGCTATTACATCAAAGATCTTTTATCTCAAATATATGAATAAACACCCAAGGCTCCTCAACTCTTGCCAGCAAAACAAGAAAGCATGTAAATACAAAGTAGAGGAGGATATCAACTCTGGGTGTTAGTTCGGGGCTGGTAAAACTCACGTAAATTGAAGTATTCAGGAACTTATTGGTATTCATAACAGGAGCTACACAATAATTTATTTTCAAAGACATAACATCAATATAGCACACATACTGAAAGGTATCGCTTAACTATTAAATAAGATATTTATAATATATGCATAGTCCATTTGAGTCCTCAGTTCTGACCACTAGTTAGTTCTCCCTTTCACCGATAACTGGTTACAAGCCCCTCTGTTTTAATGGTCTGTGTCTGACTGCCGCCTTCTTTGCTTGGCATGCCCTTCTTAATTCCTCGTGTGTGAACTGCATTGCGCACACACAGTCACACTCAGCTACCCAGGCTCTGTACTGCACTACTCAGACCTCACTGGTCCTGGTACTAGTGCTCAGACGTTCGCCTCCTCTTCCATCTCATCCTTGCACATTTTCTTCCTTCTTCTGCATGTGCTCAGCTATGCAGAGCACTTTGCTGCCACTGCCTCCTCCAGGATGAAAATGCTTTGCCTTCCAATAAACATTCTCTGGAAAGCCTTTCATCTTTTTCAGTCTGAATGCTGGTATGAACAGGCAGAGGCCATTTTATTTTGGTGTTTTATCACCAACAAGAGAAAAACATTTATTATGACTATGAAAAAGACTCCTCAGAATAATATTAATTGCTGTTCTCCTAGTCCATAGCGTCACAAACCACTGGCTTTACTCATCAAGATTAAGAGCCAAACTGAAAAGTTCAAAAGTGCCAGGAAGTAAATCTTACCTGACATAATGTTGGTGTTACACAGCTAAGGAGAATGGTTAAAGAGATCTGTGAAATATTTCAACTACCCCTCCTATACTGGCGTACTGTGGGCATGCTTCCACTGAAATAGCTCTCTATCCTTTTATCATTCTGTAACCTCCTAACCATTGTAAATTTCAAGTTAAACTGGTTCACTGCCTTTAAAAACTTCCTGTCTAACACCCACAGGCCAGATACCTCAGAAAATATCTCTATGGCCACACCCAGTACCTCAGGATGTCCCTGCCTTATATTCTCACTCTCTTTGCTATTTGGTGTCCTGATTCAGAGCACATAACAGATTAGCTCACTGCCCAGATCCATTAAACAAACACTTCAACAGTAACATGCTTGGCTCTCCACTCCAGATTCAGCACAGCTCTGTTTAACACCCACCTCCTTTGGCTCAACATTCTCATTCTCTGGCTTTAGGAAACATGATTAAAGACAGTCTCCCATAGTCAAACTTATTTACTTAATACAATAATAAAAAGAAAACATAGAAAAATTAAATGCATGGTCTGTGTTTATAATTTTTGTGTCTACTTGACCTAAACTTTTCTTTTTGAACCCTTATTTTCCATCTCCCTAGATCTCTGAGTCAGCATCCTATGTACTTTTTTGTGTGACTCAAGCTTAACAGGGCTCTTTAAACCAATACCCTGGGTACATTTTGTGTGACTCAAGCTTAACTGGGATGCCTGGGTGGGTCATACAGGTGTGACATTAAGGTCTAAATCTGGCTCTTCATTCCTTCCTCTCTGTTGCTCATCCCCCACTCTGCTTCCTGGGTTGTCATAAACTAAGCAGCTTTGCTCTGCTTTATCCTTCTGCTATATTTTTGCCCTGGAGTCAGATGATCATGGACTGAATACTCTGAAACTAGGAGCCAAATTAAATCTCTTCTCCTTTAAGTTTTGGGTATGAGATATTGTGTTCCAACAAAGGAAAAGCTGACTAAAACATTTTGGTATAGAAGCCTCAGATTTCTCAAATAAGCATTATGCCCAGTCATGCCTTTAATTCCTAAAATCCTGTGTCACTTTCAATTGAATCTCTCTGACCTACCCTTATCTTTATAAGTTGTAGTTCCTGAGGCAGATAAAGAGATTCTAGGTCATTTTGTTTCATTTTTTAAATTTCAGTAATTTTTTTCACAATAGTTGGTGCATTGAAAGAACTTTGTATCATTGAACTAAGCTAAGACTTCTTTAAAAAAGAAAGATAAGCACTGGGAGAGGGAAGATTCCAGAAAAGAATTTAAACAATCCGTGGCTACATATTTCCTATAACATGACATACCAGATTTATTCCTTTTAAATACATAAAACATGTCCTAAAGCAATGCGAGTTACATGTAAATTATACTACCTGAAGAAAATATATTCATTATCTAGCTTTCAACTGCAGGTACAATATCTACAATTAAAGGCTCCTGTTTTTCACTAACTCTCCTCAACTTTTCCACTTCTCTCCCACCTTTTTATATATATAAAGTAAAATTATGTTACTTTCTAGTCAATACAGAGGTCACTACTTGAAATTCAGCCAACAATTCTAACGACTTTGAACTTACATCTCACTTTTTTAAAATTACCAGTGCTGTTTGTTAGTTCCCTAGGTAACCAACTCTCTATAGCAAAAATGGACTGGATAGTCAAAAGAAAGCATAACACATATACACGAAACCAAACAAAAAGCAATTTTCTTCATTTGCTAAAATAGATTTGACCATGGAGGCAGATGGTAGCCACATTAATATTTATGCTGGACATGAAAAAAGGCTTGGAGGAAAAGGAGATTCCTCCGTAGAAATAGGTACAAAGTCAGCTTGTTAGTTTAGAGGGAGCACAAGCTGCCAAATCTGAGTTTGAATCAATTCTCTGTCACTTCATAGCTGTCTTATCTAAGACAGCCTTATGTTCTCTGACCCTCAGTTTCCCCATGTGTTAGGGCCAAATGGGGATTAAAGGAGAAAATGTGTGTGGATCACAATTAATAATTTCATCTTCTACATCCTTACCCTGGCCCATGCACACATAGCAACATTATAAGGTAAGCACAGGTAGACCCATTTCACATAAAGATTCTGAAAGTTTAGCGCATGGCCTTCATGGCTTTTCAGTGGCAGAAGTGAAATTCAAGCCCAAGAGGATTAAACTCCTCCCAAACCACACTTAACCCTTTCTATTGTCATGCAGAGGGAAGTACATACATGATGATATATTGCAAATGCAGAGGACATTTTGAGGACTTTCAAGGTACACAAATCTACTGAAGCCATTCCTAACAGAGCCCATATGAATAGCACAACCTGAGACATCTTGCAGGTATTGTTCAGCTTATTCATCTGCACACAGTGGCCCTCGGCATTGTTTCTCATGAGTCTCTACGATTAAGAAAGGAAAAATAGAAACAGCATCAAAGAAGGATTTCTATTTGTATTGAACCTGTATTTTGACCCCACAGCATCTTCTGAAGAGTTTTTGCGTGTTTGAAGAATGCCCTAACTTTTGTCTCTCACTCTCCAAGGGAAAACACAAAACTTTTTTCCAGCTTTTCTCCAATGGGAAGTTTGACTAAAGCATAGAAAGTATGTGATTAAGAATAAAACTATAGTCCACCTACATTGCAAATATAGATCGTGTGTATTTCATTCAAAACAAGAGCAATATGGGGCTCTGACTCTTTACCAAATTTTCACTCACCAAAGTAATGTAACAATGTTTTCGGAAGACTCTGACTTCCTAAAAGAACACTTGAGAAAACTATCAGTACAGCAATATTTTTCATTTTGCTCATGTGACACATCTGGTATAAGTAGGATGTGCTAAGTAATGTTAGTTTCTTTATTACCTTCCTTACAAACCCTATTTCTTTATGTTTATTTCTTGCAAGAGCTCTTGTAACTGCACAGGTAGGTCAGCAGGTCCAGGTTTGTTGATACTGACTTGTTAATGGAGGCAGAAATCAAAAACACAAAGAGAAGCCATTGATAGAAAAGCTGCTCATAACAATCCATGCTTAAGAGCTGTACTTTGTATTGCAAATGCTCCTAACAGATGACAAATGGGAATAAAACAGCTGTTGTTACTCCTGTCTATTTTGCTTTGCAGTGTCATCCTTCAAGGGGATGAATACTCATTCTGTTTGCCTTAGTTCATCTACCTTTTTTGTTTCATTAAAACCCTCTACTGGGCATTCCCTGGGCTCCTGGCAATATAAATTAATTCCTGTGGGCACAACATAATCACCTGATGACAGAGCAGTAGTGAGAATATGACCTGCTTTGGGTATCAAGAGTTTCCCAGGCCAAACTAGTTGCCTGTCCATTATTTACACAGCCACACCCTTCAGGCGAGCTTTAACCCTATCAGAGGCCTTAATAACTTAATGATTCTAAAGAATATAACACTATGAACACCAATTGCCAATCCCTCTCCCTCACTCAATTTTTTTTTCTTTTTCTTTTCTTTCTTTCTTTCTTTTTTTTTTTTTTTTGTACCGGGGATGGATCTCAGGACCTTGCCCTTGCCAGGCAGGTGCTCACGCTGCTAAGCCAAACCCTTGGCCCCCTCCCTCATTAAAACATTCTAAATTCATTAGGACAGCTCCCTTGGTAAACTGAAACTCTAGCTGATTGTTCCTCTCTGTTCATGCATTTGTTTGGAAAATCCACTCATTTGTCCTTTCTTTTGAACATCAGTGAACTTCCCTTTCTTTCCTCCAACTCTAACTAGTAAAATATACTCTATTAAATATAATTACTATGGTGGATGGGAAACTTATGCTCAACTTAAACATCATCTGAACTGAATCAGCATGATGCTGAGTGTAGATGACCCAGCTGAGGACTGTTGCCAGCACAAAAAGAACTGCAGAGGAAAAAGTAGTGTTGTTGGTTCTACGTGCTGTCATCGTCGTTTGGTGCTGTGGGTTCTCCTGGAGGAGCTTGTCTAGTTTCTTTCCTGCTATAAACTTGGCTGTTCTCATCATCAGAGGAGTGTAGGATCTTGTTGTTGCTGAGAATGGCTGTGGTTCACTTTTGGGGAGCTCCGATCCTTCCTTGGAGCATCACTTCTTGACTCCAGAGGGGAAGATGAGTGCTATTCAATCTTCTGAAGAAGTTTGTCATGCTGGCTTCCTGATATGAACTCAGCTGTTATCATTGGAGGAACTTGGGACTTCATTGTCACTGAGGATGGCTGTGATACTTTTGGGGGGATCTCTGGTTCTTACTTTGTTATTTCCTGGCTCCAGTGCAGAACCCTCAGCCTGCTGGCACAGATCCTGCAGCCCACTGGCACAGACTTTCTAGCTTTCGCTGCGGGGGCCTTCCCAGCGCAGATCCATGAAACAGACTTGCATGAGTCATTGTCATAGGCTCTAGGCTTCCAGTTGGACTTGTGAGGGGTATTGTCATGGGCTCTAAGTTTTGACCTGAACTCATGCAGGTTATTGCCATGGGATCCAGGCCCTCAGCTGGATTCTCCAAGTCTTTGGTGTGTGGACAGATTTCCTGCACTTTCTTGTATTTGACTGCATGGGTGGCCATTATAAATAATGCTATAAATCATATATCCTGTATTGTCTTGTTCTCCTTGCAACCCCTGACTATAACAATTGCTAAAGTTCTGTGAACATTAATCTGTTTATCTGCAGTATACAATACGAGTGAAGCAGGACCTACTTCCAGATAAGGTATGTAAAGTACCTGGTACAGTTCTTGCCAGGTAACAAAGCTCAATACAAACACATTTCTTTTCTTTCTCCTTCTCCGGACCCCAGCTGCTTCCCTTTTCCTTGCATTCCTCTAAAACAGAGCTTTGTATCTTCTTCCACTCATCAAAATCCTTGTAAACATTTTCATTTAATTTATTTGTTCAATTATTTAATAAACATTGAACTTGAGAAAACTTGCCCTATGAAGCTGAGAGATGTATAGAAAGTACCATGCTCAAAATCTGTCCCTAAAAAATGCACAGCACAGTATAGCAGTAAAACTTTAAAATTAAACATAATTTTACTACACTATACTCTCTGCTACAATCAAATAATACATAAAAGCAGAGTGGCAAACACTGCTAGAGAATATCAATGAAAGCCTCAATGAAAAGATATTGGGTATTCAATAATTCATGAGTTCATATGAATAATATGGTAAAAAATCATAAGAGTTCATATTAATATGGTAAAAAAAAGAAAGAAAAACTGTCTAAATACTTCATCATAGGAAAATCTTTGAAGATTAATTTGGACTTGTTGCCTTGTGAACTATACTGACCAAGACCATATGTTTAAAAACAAAAAGCAGGATACATAGCACAAAAAAGTTAACTAAAGTAGGGGCTGGGGATTTAGCTCAGTGGCATAAGCACCTGCCTTACAAGCAGGCAGTTGTGAGTTCGATCCCTGGTATGGAGAAAAATGAAAAAGACAAAAAAATAAAAGTTAACAAAAACAGACATAATTTTAAAATGTCAAATGTGTTTTAAGGATTTCTAGAAAAGAAAAATTAATGAAGGAAACCCTAATTATCAAAAAATAAGGTGATGATTAAATAACTTATCACTTTAATAATTACAATAATGAAAAAAATTTAATATCATTACACATTTTAAAAAAAATTTATTATTCTGATAATATGAACAAGGGATTTAAAAGGGCACATACAATGATAATGCTTTGGGGTACATTAATTGTGATTTTTTAAAAAAAATTAAAATCTTTTTATAAACCTTTTCATAACAATTTATTATATTAAAAAGGATAAAGTAGCAAAATTACAGTAGCAAAATTATTTTTAGATTGGTTTTAAATGTAATATTTTTGTTTTTTGGACCAGGGATATAGCTCAGCAGTACAAGGGCAAGGTCCTGAGTTTAATTCTTAGTACCAAAAATTTTTTTCTGCTTTTTAAATTCTATTGCTATTAGTTCATGTTTGCAGCACATGATTACCTTCATCCTGGGGAACTGGTACATGTACATAATGCATCTTCATTCATTCTATGCACCTTTGCCCTCTCCTGTCTCTCCTCGATCTCCCTCTTTTTGTCACAAACTATACACATTGTAGTACTTAAACAAATGACACCAGCTCCTCCTGTCTTCACCAGAACCTTAAAAACTGAAGGCACTCCCATCAGGAATAGTGTTGAGATTTTGCATTATAAATATGGCACACTTTATGTTCCCGGCACACAGGGTTTAATTACTTACCATATAACAATTTTCAACTGAATTGGCCTTATTGAGAATCTAAAAGTGAAACGGATTCTCCCATTCTTACCTTTTCAAGGCAGTAAGACAATCCAGGAAGACCTTCACACATTATCTAAACATAAGATTAGTTTGCTAGTTTAATGCAGAGTCTAAAGGAAGAAAAAAGAAAGACCAAAGGTTATGAAAAGAGAACATGCTGACAACAATTTATTATATATTTCAAAATAGCTGGTAGAGGCAATTCTAAACATTTCCAAGACAAAGAAAAGGTGAATGTTTAGGTAATGGATATGCCAGTTACCCTAATCTGATAATTACACAGTGTATATACACAATGGAATATGTGGAAATATCACACTGGACTCTTAAGTATATATAGTTGTCATGTACCATCTAAAAATTTAAGGATATTTTAATAGTAAAAGGAATGTGTGAATTTCTTGTGTCTTTCTATTTTTATTTTCTAATATTTAAAATCATGAATGTTTTAATATTTGATTTTAGTGTGCTGATAAAAGATCTCATTTTGAGTTCCTTATTATCTGGTTGTTATGGAATTTCACTTTCTCAAATTACAAGATTAATGCACACATTTTTAAGAATCTATCAAAATAATTAGGAGTCATAAGAATGTCACAAATCTAATTTTATAAAAGTAAATTCTACAGATTTTATATTATCTTTACTGTCTCTAAACTGTGATTGACATGCATATGCATTTTATAAATTTGGCAAATTGTACCACAAACAGTAAAATAATTACTTCCTTCAATATTCAGTGCTGTTTTTATAATTGCATTGAATATCAGTTTCTCTGTGGTTGGAATTATTAATCTTGAAAGGTCAGCTATAAATATCTTTTCTTAGTATCTCTGTGGCTGGATAAAACTGAGCATCTCCCTAATGAGCACAGTGCTTGTCAGCTTTGATTTTCTTTCTGTGGCTACAGGTGATCGGCAACTTGAAATATACTTCCTAGAGCTACTCAGGATCAGAAGCCAGGTTTTGTGAGATCCTGTGAGTTAGGAAGTTTCCAAGGGAATCAAAGAAGGACAGTAAACTTTCTGGATCTACAGAGATGTTGGGGATGAAGAAATGGAACAATGTCTGGCCCATATTCAAATGAATTACCTGTAGGTAGTACTACTAAATGAATTACCTGTAGCATAGTACTATTGATTAAGCACCTTATATACAAATCCTTCTTCTTCTAGAGGATACAACAGTCTCAGAGTTCAGGAGCATGCCTTTGGCCCTATAGCTATTGGAGATGATTTGGGATGAAATTTTCTACCCCAAATCCTAAACTGATCCCAGCATAACATCATGGCTCATTGTGTTTGAAGTCAAACAAAGCTATGCTTGAGTTCCACTTCTGCCACTTGTCTCGGGCAATCTTCTCAAGCTCTCCATGCCTCAGCATCTTCATCTGCATAGTGTAATAGTAATCACAGAAGCCCAGGTCATACAGGGACATTGTGAGCAATAAATAATACACACAACCCTGAACACAACTGTGATTCTCACTCATATCATCGTAATTCTGGCTGTTACAAGGACTCTGTTCTACTTTCTCCTCCACGTGTGGCTCTCAGAACTGTTTTTCAGGAAAAAAGCATAGTATGATAGTTAGAAATGTGCAGAGCTCAAGCTACGCAGATAGGTTCAAATTCTACCATTATTAAGGAAAAGCCATTTGATGCTAGACAGGTTATTTAATCCCCTGTTAACCTCAGTTTCATAACCTAATAAAGGAAGGTGTGATAATGTAACCTCTCCTCCAGCTGATGGAAGAATTCAACAAGCAGCACCTACCGAATACTTAAAACAGAGATTTCTATATAGAAGACGTAGAATAAATATTAATTTAATCTATTATCATTGTTATTTTATTTATTTTCAACACCTTTCCCCCAATTCCAGACCCTAAATCTATTTTAAAAGAGCTGATCATCTATTTTGTGTCGCTTCCAGCAGTGCACACACACACACAAAATGATGCTTCTTGCCTTGAGAAGGGACAGTTATAGTCTCCTTTAATAGATAAGGCAGAGGTCAATAGCTAATGATACAAGCTTTTATATTCCAACAGCCAATGAAGGATAAAGACAACAGACGAGACCAGAGGAGAAAAACATTTGGAAAATGTGAATCTTGCCTCCTTGTGAGCAGAATTATTATTTTATGATCAACCAAAAAATCAAGTGGAGAAAAAACAAAAAAGGAGATAGACAAGATTCCAGGACTCCAGAGTTTTGTAGATGAGACACTTTTATCCTGTTGGGTGGAAACACTAAGAGATTTATTTAACTTCTCCTTATATCATAATCTTTTAAGAGAAAGGATATGATAATGATAAGAATAGGTAAAAGGACATAAGTTCAGAATAAAAATCAATCCTTATCTAAAAGGTAATCAACGAGACACAGAGAAGTGCATTTGTGCTATGAACATGCACATAGGTATTCAAATGTGCATATAACTCTGTCCCTTTGTCTCTGACTTCTCCCCAGACTGGTGAAGATCTCATCAAATTCACAGAACAGCATTTATTAATCATGGGGGTAAAGTACACCACAGATTGTAATAGGTGTGGACCAGATCTATCCTGGCAGAGCAAAGATTTGGAATTAGGTAATTTTAATAAAAGTGTTTGTCCTCAATTACTGAAGAAGTGTCTTTTTCAACCAGCCCTTCCAAACATTTGCTTCAGTTTCTTGTTTCATTTTTCTATAAATAAAAATTTTTTTAGACTTAACATGTTAATAATCTCAGCCTAGGAGGACCGAAGAAGCAAAGGGTTAAACAAGCATTGTAAGCCAGACCAGTAAACAGAGATGAATTGTCAGAGTTCCTCGAAAGAGCAGTTCAGTTTTCCAGATTTCCTGAGGAAGGAGCTGCACAAAGTGGCTTATTTGATTTTGCAGACAGAAGCAGGTAGCAGGAATCAAGCAGGAAGCAGAGCCCTCAAGGGAATATTCAGGCAATGTTTGAAAGGAAGCATTTTAGAAAAAATTTCAAAGCAACTATTTTAAGCAAAGTTGGAGATACACTGTGGAGGAAAGAACACAGACATTAAATCCCTGCACTACCACTTCCTAGAGACAGCTGGGCAACTTCTATACCTCTCTGAGCCTTGGTTCTTTCATCTACAAAACAGAAGAGGGCCATATGCCTTTTGCAGAGTTAAAAATTAAATCATAACAAATTACACTGTATGGAAATTACCTAGTCAATGTGAAGTATTCAAAATGTGTGGCCATTATACTTATAGGTAGAGAGTGCTCAAATGAGGACCAACAAGGTTATTTATCCTTCCCAAGGTTGCTTATACAACAGACATATGTTGGGTGCTTGCAAGGTCAGTCAAGTCTTTGAATCCAAGGTCCCCAAAGCCCAGTGGCAGAGATGGGGCCAGAAGAATGCATAATACACCTTGACAGATTCTGTAGTGAAAAAAGAAAAAACAAAATAGCACAGTACTGGGACCACAGGCCAAACATTCAAATACCTAAAGTCTAGGTAAGCAAAGTATTCAAACTATACCTCAGAAGATGTGCAGGAGTACATTCAGGGGAGAAGGGAAAGAGAGGGATTGCAGGCTGGAGGAGCAGCATATGCAAAGGCGCGGAAATTGAAACATCCTGCTGAGCTTATGGAACCAAGCAGTGGTTTGATAAATTGTGTCAGCCTGAGAAGTTTACAATCTTAACCATGTCATTCAGCAGTTCCACATCCTAGTGTGTACAGGACACACCCTTGTTGCTCTTAGATTTTGTTCATTGTGTCAACTTGAAAAGTTTACAAGTTTAATTAATAGACGTAGCAGAGGACCGGGGTCCTCACTTTGTAAACATCCTGAGCCCGTGCAAGAGGAGGGCACCAAGACAGTGTGAGTGCTACGCCCACCTGAGGGTGTGTAGTCTGTGTAGAAGTGAGGAGAAGAGGCTGGTTCTTCCCATTTTTTTTTTTTTTTTTTTTTTTTTTTTTTGTTCTTACTGCTTTTGCTGTCTTCCACTGCCATGAACTCTCACCCTTGTACCACACCGCCCTGCCTTGGAACCTGCTCACTGTGGACTGAAGCCTCCATAATTGTGAGCTAAATAAGCCTTTTCTTCCTTAATTTGGATTGTCGCAGCAACAAGAGAAGAGTAACTAAGACAGACCACATGTCATCATTTTCTAGAAGCCCTTAAACATTTAACTTGTCATGATTTAAACAGGATGTTCATGTCTTTTTAACAGATAAGGTAGAATCTCACAATGCAACAACTATGGCTATAAAACAATTGCAATTTACTCTTATTCACCACTCAGCATCTCCACCCAGCCACTCTGGCAACTTTGAGTGCTCCTCTGATGAGAGAAAGGTGGTAAAATTGTTATCCTCCTCATCATTCCAGCCTATCTCTCTTCTGGGGGTAATGCACATTTTTAATGTATTGCTCAGTCTATTTTCTACATATCTAATTGTTATAAAAATCTAACCATATCTAATTGATATAAAAATACATTTTTCTCTGCACAGGAACTGGAATGTATGTATTGTAAATATGCATGTGTCATTTAATTTTGCAAAAGCAAAACATCAAATTTTCAGGTCTAAATATTTGGGGTCACATTTATCACATCATGGAGAGAATTTACAATATTTATACTAAAATACAAATTATTTCATGTCAGAATAATGTATGGATTTAGAGCATATATTCCTATGATACTACAAGAGATGCATTCTGTTTCCTCTAATGCCAACTTCTGATGGGTTCTTTACTGTTTTTATTAGTACTTTAAAAGATGACATCCATTCTAGCATTTCTGAACCAAAATCTTGGGTTATAATGTATCTCCCCTAGAGAAGTCTTGAGAACACCAGCTATTTAAGGAAGCACTACAGCCAAAAGTAAATCTAAATTGCCAGACACCCAAGAACACCTATTGCTTCTCAACCTGCTGTGGAGACGACTCTTCAAGGATCAAGATGGAGCCAAAACCATAACACTGTAAAAGCTCATTCATTTTCTGGACTGGGAAATTGTAGTGCTTGAAAATTGGAACTGTGGCTTACTTACCCATGTATTCGTATCATTTAGAACTGAAAACCCAACCCAAACAGGTTTGAGCGGAAGAAAAGGTTTTCCACCAATCT